CATTTATTTTATTTACTAGAGCGAAGCCGGAAGATCTTAAATAAAAGCTCTTATGAAAAATGCAACCAAAGATTTTAAAAATACCCGTTACATGCATTTTTTCAGACACTTCCACAGATCATATATAAAATTATTCTACACTTTTGTGCAAATTAGTTGAAAGAAAACGAATAATTCCGTTATTATTTACTTTTTTTTCGTACTTTTCCAATGCAACATGACCCAATGCACATATTTGTACTTCGTATGTTCATTCCACGATGTCTTTCCTTGCAGAGTGACCATATATTCTCGATTGGATTTAAATCAGGAAAGTTTCCAATCCAGTCGATAGTACTTTGATTTGCTCACTGGTAAGGATTACCAGTGTGTTCGTGCGGCGTTACAATTTTCGTAAGCTTTCTTGGAGTAATATGCATTCCAGACAATGGTCGTAGGACAGCTAATCACCAGTCGAAACAGTAGCGTTTGGGCGTGATGAAAATCTGATGCAATCACGGATGACGCATTATTTTTCAAGGCCAAACAAATTCCATCATACACACCGAAAATAGATTCATATTACTGCACACCACTGCAAATGACCTAATCTGAGGAAAAAATAGAAATCAATTACACCCAGTCACTCTGGTGGGTCTAAAACTGACCGAATGGTGAAAGAAAGGAAACTAAAGCGGTTGTTTCAATTAATTTGTACAAGGATGTAAACTCAACCAATGTTTTTATATATGAAATTATTTATATAACTAAGTATATATATTTTTTTAATTAAGTTGATGCGCACTATCCATTGGCTGGGTTTAATATATATTACATTTTTATGTTTATAGTAAAAACGCATAAATAAACTGTTTTGTATAAAGCCGTTCTGATCTAAGCCGTCGAATATTAAAGAAAAGAAAATATAAAAAAAATCAAATACTTTCAAAATTTAGGAAAAATGACATTCGACTATTATTCATATTCGAATAATATTCATCTTCGTTGTATTAAAAAAATCTCATAAATTCAGGTATATATGTGATGTTCTGAATTGAATATATATATATATATATATATATATATATATATATATATATATGTGTGTGTGTGTGTGTGTGTGTATGTGTGGGAATAGATAGGTTCGCTTCTCGTCCGGTCCATACTGCACCCAGGGATTTTTTTAGAGAAATAGAGACTTATCCCTTGTTATCTGCTTAGGATATTTTCATTCTTTTTTCTCTTTTACAGAACGTTTACTCTGTACAAAGCCCGGGGGCTACTCGAGGTAGAGGGTTATGTTAAGGGGTTATTTTGAATGTTTATGAGGGGAAGTTAGCTCAATTGTTGGACAGGTTAAGATTGTAATGATGGGGGAAACATTCTATTGAGAGTCTGTTTCGCATAGCAGTGGTTCGCGGGAAGAAGCTGTTCGTGAAGAAATTACCGATGGAATATGAAAGATGTTCGACCAAAAATTAGTGACCCATCATCCTCAGGGCGATAAAGTGCAAAGACGAATGTGGCAATATGGATAAGTGTCACGCAAAAGCGTATATACGGGAGATCAGTATCCTCGTTTTTTGTGTCTCTGCCACAGGGAGATTTTTTTTCCGAATTGAACAAAAATAACAAAATGTGAATGTCGGTCAGTTTAACCACAACTTCTAGCAGAACACTCAACACTTTATCCGAAAATTAGGAAAATGTAATAAAGAATTAAACAGGTGTGTTTCTGTGAGTACGTGAATTTATTTTGGTACTCTCTTTTCAGATATAATATACCAAATACTCATGTTAATAATTTAACTCTTTAATCGTTATTCCTCGAAATCAAATCTCGTTTCCTTTTTTTGCGGGGTGTCAGTTTTTCTCCAAATTTTCTTATATGAAAAGTAAAACGTTATCATATTTTATGTAGTATTTTTTTGTTAATTTCATCTATGATCTCATGTCTATATACATGGAAAATTCAAAATCTCGCCATGTCGTTTAAAATAAGGCATCCCAAGTAAGATGTACGAAATCCAAATCAAGTTTTTATAATGAGTTCCACTGCTTCATCCAATTACAAAGATTTGTCAACAATAAGTCTTACTAAGAATGTGAAATCTTCAGAAGCTCTTTAGACCAATGACGCGTCGACTACGGAATCTCTCTTCTGTCTTATCATTTTCTGCATCTTGTTAACGATCTGCCTAAGAACGTTTTCAGATTCTGGGTAAGCATTTATGCAATTGCTACCAAGGTGTGCTGACAAAGTTCTGAAAAAACGAAGATGATCGAATCATTGCAATTGTTCTCTCCTTTGACCTCGATCAATGAGGAAATATTGGCTTGTAACTTTTAATACCTCAAAACCAAACTAGTTTCATTTCATCACCAACGTTGTGATCCTTAGTTTTCTGAGTTTCAGAATATGTTTAGCGGCATATCAATTCCTTATAGGTCGTTTAATTCCAAAATTTACTTTTCTTGGGAGATTTTACAAAAATTGGTAATTTTTGTCAAACATATATTGCTGTTAATATTTTTTTTAATTATGAAAATGCATTGCTGTTATTTTTACTATAAAAATGTATTTTTATACTTTATAGTGTTTTGGAGGCTAACTATTTTCCCATAGTTGAGACCCTAACAAGTTTTAACACCCCGGTTGGACCAGGGAATAACAGCAATTATGAGTTGGTTTCCACGCTACTCAAAATTATATATATATATATATATATATATATATATATATATAAAAGGGAAGAGGTTATAGTAGTTCCAACTAGAGAAAAGTGTGTACATTAAAAAGAAGAGAGAAACTGCAAACGTATTTGGTTGTAATGTGGATTTTTTAAAAAAAATATATTATGCTTTATATTCCATAATTTTGCTACACGTGTTTCCGGTCTCGCGACCTTCATCAGGCAGAGCGTGGAGAATTCCACATATTATTAAAAATAATACTTTTTTGCTTATGTTTTTCGATGTTAAATATTCTCGATATAAGACATTCTTTTTTAAATGTTAGTGAGCCGAATGTCTTCCGGAATTGGCAGTGAAAAGTTATGCGTGAATGGTTATAAAACAATTAAGATTGGTCCGAGAAATGGTGAAGGAGTTATCGGCATTCTTATTTTTTAATGACTACTGAGTGTTCTTAGATATCTATCCATTTTTTGTATTTTTGTCAGCATGCGTATGTATACGTATATTCTCTCTCCATACATACACACTGTCTTATTACGAGAAATTAGCAAACACATCTATGCACACACACACACAAACACACACACACACACACATCCTATGTTGTGTAGTGTTGGCGTGCGTGCCCGTGAGCAGTTTTGTTTTTGCCAATATGCGTGTATATATATATCAGCATGCTTATGTATACGCGCACTCCCTCTCTACATACACATACTGACCTATTACACAGGCACCCGCATGTGACCGTGTGGGCATGCATGAGAGTGGTTTGATCACTGTATTTGGCCATTGTGTGCGCATTTTTTTTTTTTTTTTTTTTGCATGTGGGGTTATGATCTATTTGGTTCTGGTTTAAATTTCTTTATGAAGACTTCTCTTCTTGTATTTGTAGGTAAGAATAATTGTCTGTTTGATATATTGGCATAATTTTTAATTTATCCTGGTTACATTTAAAGATATGTTGTGATACAAAAAGTTTTATGTTGACTGGCAATTTTATGTTGCATTTGTGTAGGGAAACCCTATTTTTCATTTGTAGGCTGATACCGATATATGACTTGAATTTTTGCATTATATATATATATATATATTATCTGTAAGCGGAAAGGATAATCCAAGTAGGTCTTTTTAATATGAAAAAAGATAGATCTATGAAGAGAGCTCTATGTATTATATACAGAGCAATAACATATACATCAAAGAAAAAAATCACACATCGTCGAAAAATCCGTTAATAAATCTGTTTCAGGAGGTAAACTTGTAATCTGTTATGGCTATACAAGCTGATACAGGATGGACAATTTCAATTGCAACGAATGTATGTGATGACGATCTATCCTGATGGCCTCTTGTTTTTTTTAGCAAGCTGCTCTTTGGAACACCCCCCCAGTAAGTTGTTGGGATCCGTGTAGTTGATTTGCTGAACAAACCACCTGAGCAGACCGTAGAGGTCGAAACTGCGATAGTGTACTCTGGTCAGCTTTCATCCTTTCCAGATATTAAACAGCTCTACAAGTCTGGTCCCCCGACTTTGTATAGAGCACTTTTAACACGTTCAGTGTTAACAAATATTTTACTATTTGTGTTACTCTGGCATATATATATATATATATATATATATATATATATATATGTGTGTGTGTGTGTGTGTGTGTGTGTGTGTACAATAAAAAACAGTTTTAATCTATGCTATATTTATGGTTAAAAGTGCTCCATGTCAGAGATAGAACGTAAGTAAATATAAATATAAAAGTGGACACTGAGATCAACACCGAGAGGCGACAGTCTGTTTTCTGCTTGAAAGCAATCTTCAGGTCATGGATTGAGAATTGCGGTCAAGCATGAAACAATCGGTTTGCAAATTTAAATTAATTTTAATTCTTTAGGTTCCGCTTTTGGAATATAGGACCACAGCTTTCCTTTGGCATGAACAATGTGTTCAAGCATCAGGCAGACTGTCGCCACCCGGTGTCGTCTTCAGGAAATACATACATATATATATATATATATATATATATATATATATATATATATATATATATATATATATGTTTGTAGGACTGTTTGATAGCGTGGAGAAGCACACACGGGTATATGCGAGCAAAACGGACAAACATTTTTTCATTTTACCGCACAAAAAGTGCTGTCTGGAGTATTATTTACGAGTTCAAATGCCTGTGGGGATGTTTCAACTTATGAAATACGCAGGGAAATTTTTATTCGCAGAAAGAAATCATCGCCGTTCGGAGCATATAACTTGAACAATGATAAGCGTGCTGCAATATATAGGCACTGAGCCAGAGGGGAGATTGTAATATATACAACTAAAATAGATAGATAGATAGATATGAACACGCAGATATGAATAAAGTTACATACAGATATGAACAGAAATAGACAGACAGACAGGTAGATAGATAGATAGATAGATAGATAGATAGATAGATATGAATATCCTCAGATAAATAGATAGATATGAATATCCTCAGATAGATAGATAGATAGATATAAATATCCTTAGATAGCAAAAACAAACAAGAAAAAGAGACACACTTGAAAAAAAGTCTCCTCAAATTTTTCTATGAAAGAATTATTCAAAAGAATAGACTCCAATTTTTAGACGTTCTACAACTTATTGCATAAAAAAATCACTAGCTGAAACGCCTGCCACCGTTATTTTATGGGTGAATGCCCAGTTACTTATAAATAAAAGTTATAAAAAAAATTCCATTTCCTCTCGTCTACTTTTCGTAAAAGAACTCAACAAAGCAAGTTAACTAATCACTAGTTAACAATGGCTTCCCTAACTACCTCATTGACCATTAGATTAGACTATTTCTTCCCAAAGTAACTAATAACGGTCCTGAAAACCCAGACAAAAACAATAACATTAACATATTCTACAAAAGAGAAATATACGTCAACTATAAGCAAAATGAATCTTCAGTTAGAAACATCATAAAGAAATACACTACCTGAGTCGACCCAAAGAAAAAAAATTAGATTAACTATCTATTGCAAAAAATATAAAACTGCTAGCTTTATCATCAAACGCAGCAGCAAACCTTTAAAATCAAAACTACAAGGAACCAATATTATTTACGAGTTCAAATGCCCCCTAAGGAATTGTGTTCCTGATCAGACAAAACTCAAAAATAATTACATTGGTCACACAACTACATGCTTATCCAGACGACTTCTGTTTCACCAATTTCACCACAGCTCCATTAGAACTGATTTAAACACATAAAACCCTATCAGACTACTATAAAATGAAAGCATGATAAGCCAACACTCAATAATGTTAACTATGAACACGGCCACAATGTGCTGATCATGTTTATAAAATAATACATGCTTATAACTCTGGATAAATATATATAACACAACCCATATATTTTACTTAAAATAAAACAAAATCATCCTTGATAGTGGCTAAAAATATAGCCGAAAGCGCTCGAAAATTCAGAAATTTTGGACAGTTTTTTAGTTTATAATTGTTTTTTCTTTTTTTTTATTTTAGCCAGAGAAGAAAGATTTGTACAAACACAACACAACACAAATTATATGTTTAATCATCGGTCGACTTTAATGAAGCATTTAAAAAAGAGGGATTGCTACCTAAATAATATATATATATATATATATATATATATATATATATATATATGAGATAGTTTTGGTTTATGGTTTATTACTATATGGTGGACTCTACATTTATATTCGACGTATGAGGGTCAAGCATCTCAGGTCCTAGGAAACGACAACCAGACACCAGCACATGATATTATTATAGTGGTGAAGGCTTTCTGCAAAACCAACCACACTTCTTTAAAGGCCTAACAGAGAGTTAACATCCAATGCTATAGAACTCATTCTGGCCTGCTACTTACCATTAATTGGAGGGTAAAAAGAGGATTAATATACCTAGGGCATCTAGCACGTAAGTGAATGTAATTCGAGCCGCTATCCACTATATACACGATCTATATATATATATATATGCTAACCTATTATAGTCGCTCCAAACATAACCCATTCATTTTATGTCACTCTACCCAGTCTGTTACATATGTGTTATATATATATATATATATATATATATATATATATATGAGATTATTTTAGTTTATGTTTCATTAAATTATATATATATATATATATATACATATATACTATATATATATTAATTTATATATATATAGTATATATATATATATATTATATAATTTATATATATATATATATATATATATATATATATATATATATATATATATATATATGGTGTCTGTGTATATATATGCTAACCTATTATAGTCGCTCCAAACATAATCCACTCATTTTATGTCACTCTACACCAGTCTATATATATATATATATATATATATATATATATATATATATATATATATATATATATATATGGACAGACTTCGAGAGATAGATGGGCCCGGATAATCAAAGAAATTATTCTACATTATGTCGCATGTATACACCTTAAATAATTCGGGATATCGAAGTGGAAATATCTACAAGTATTATTTTGCACTTTGAGATTTTAGTTTTTTTTTGTTTTGTTGTTTTTTTTCCCCGAACTCATTATACAGGTAGTGGATTTTTTTTTTTAAGGGGTTGTTCCATTTCGTATAACTTGCTCTCAAGACTTCGGTGAATTTCAATAAATTTTCTTACTGCATCTTGAGGCCTTTTCATGTGTGCGCAATTTCTTCTAGTGGTTTGTCGTGTTCCGACTTTTATTATTGCTTCTGTTTTTTTTTTTTGTTTTTTTTTTTTGTTTTCTGTATTTTCTTTTTTGAGGCTTTCTTCTTTCGGATTATTCATTGCTGTTAAAATGTTACCTTAGGGACAAATTTTTCGCGAATCATAGGAGCATTTCATCTGCATCTACTTCAATTTTTATGTAGTAAGGCTTTCATTTGAAGGTAGAGAAACGGAGGGAAAGTGAGAGAGTAAAAAGTGTATAAATCGTAATATTACTTATAATAATAATAATAATAATGCTCGTAATAAAAGTAATAGGTAATAAGGATGGCGTATTCCTTTTGTAAAATCATGAGCGTTTCTTCTATAAGACTCATTTAAATACGAAAGTAGACACAGCAAAATTCCTTTCAAACATATTTGTATGAGAAGGGGAAATTGCTGTCTTTATATATATATATATTTTATAGTTATAAAATGTAACTAAAGTTGTTATGCATTAAGTATTTATATAAGTGCACTGATATGCGAATGATATATATATATCTCAATTTGTTCATTATCTATCTATCTATCTATTTCATTTTATTCATAGCTATCTCTATCATTCTATTCACACACACACACACATATATATATATATATATATATATATAATAGCTGGTGACTCGTATTCGAGGATACTCGTCTACTAGGGCGGTGCGTCAATCCCTATTGCAGACTCTCACTCAGGCAAGTTTGTGTTTGTTCAAAGCCCACAAAGTCAACGTGTACTTTATACAGCAACTAGGTTGTTTATGCATATTTTTCACGGAATTTGCATTTGGAGGCAACACAAATTTTCAGTGGTTAATTTACAGTTAACAAACATTGTTCCTCTGCAGCCAGAATAAAACCTTCGTTCTCAGCTTTTATTCCTGCAGGTAACCACTGATGTGTACGACGTTCGTCTATATCAGTTTGTTTGGTACGAGCACAGTATTGACCATAAAGAGCCTAATCTTGCCATCGTTTCTGTATTTGATACATTGCATTTGCTTTTGATTTCTTTTTTTTAGGTGCTTTGCCACTGCAGTCGGTGTATTATGGTTTATTTGCTCTTCTTCACCCATTTGTAATTCCCTTTTGAAATTGTTGGCTTCCTTTATTGCGGAATATAGTTTCTTATTTCTTTCGTTTTCTTTGACACAGATCATCACCCAGTCTTTTGTAGTTTCTAGGTCTTTTTAAATACCGATTGTTGTGATTTTGTAAGACATTTCTAGTTGAACTAATCCTCTACCTCCTTCGGATCATGACAAAACGAGACGTTTCACATCAGTTTTGACACTCATTCTCTTAACGTCAGCAATGGTCCAATTAAGAATGTTGAAACAGTATTGAACCACGAGAACAGCTAAAGTGTTTCTTGCTGATATTACGTTTTGTGATATTCAACTCGAATTATAACAGCAGACACACAAGTCGGTGGTATCCTTTTCTTATTTTCTGCTTCATTTGGGCACGGTATTCTCCATCTCCTTCGCTGAATCCTAGATATTTATAGGCTTCTTTCTGTTCCAGTTCCCTAATCTTTGTGGCAAAATCTAGATCTGTTTTGCAATTCTTCATTTCTTGAATGTTACTTTTGCACATTTATCTAGTCCAAAATCCATACCCATGTCATCATTGAAACATTTTACAGTATTGCTGAGAACATTCACTTCATTGTCGTCTTTGGCAAAGAGTTTGTTATCATCCGTGTAGAATAGGTGATGAAACTCTTTCTTTCTTTACTTTGTATCCATACTTGTTACTGTTTAGTTCATGCGAAAGTGGGATCAAGGACAGACAGGACAGAAGGAGCGACAGGGAGACTCCTTGAAAGTTTCCTCGTCGGATATTCAAACAAATGAAAGTGACAGTAGCATCGGTGTGATTTAGGTATAATGTGGTTCTCCACATTTCCATGCTATATTTAAAGACATTTACTATTACCGAGGAGACTCTCGACATTTCCAAAGCCTTAAGTATCCAAGACTGTGGTACACTATCAAAGACTTTACGGTGATTTATTCAAGCTCTGCTGAGATTTTAATCTTTTCTCCTGCAGTTTCTCAAAATCATTTTATTTATTTGTAGTTGATCTTTGCGACCATTTAAACCTCTCTGACATCCCTTCTGTTCCACGGAAAGTATGTTGTTTTCATCGAGAAAAGAGTAAGTACAGGACAGTTAGTTCAAGACAGACGGGTTCAATTTATACGTGGTTGACAAACACGCTATTGGCGTATAATTTATCTGATTATTTGAACCACTTTTGAATAACAGGTGCTGTAATCTTAGATGTGAGGGTGGCGAAATATATAATTCTTCGGTATTGTTAATCGGAGAGCGAAGTTCCAAGTCCCGTTATGTTTCTTTTGATTCTCTTTGGTGCAAATACCCAAGGAAAATGTATAAGTCTTCTTTTATCAGCACTGGGTTAATTAGGAAAACGATAAAATATTATGATCTACCAACAGAAGTTACGTAATATATATATATATATATATATATATATATATAAAGGGGGGGGCCTTAAATAAAAGATAGAGATTAATATACCGTTCAACAAAAACAACCAACCAAAAATTCTGATATTGACTATTCCAGCTTTCTAATGAAACAATATATATATATATATATATATATATATATATATATATATATATATATATAGTGATAGATAGATAGATAGATAGATAGAAAGAAAGATAGAGGGACAGATAGATAAAGAGATATATAGATACATACATACATAGATATACAATAAATTTTGCATTTTCGTTTCCTGTCTGAGGCAAAACATTTCACGATTTATCCAGGAGGGTCGAATTTTTATTAATTTTCACAGATATACAGAGACAGCAACAGAAAAACCCACTAAAAAGAAAAGATATATATATATATATATATATATATATATATATATATATATATATATATATATATATATATATATATATATATATATATATATATATATATATATATATGACTTAGCCTAACTTGTGGCGCTATAATAGTTAGCAAGCTTGTGTTGCTAGAACTATTATGACTGAATAGTGAGTTCGATCCTCACTGGGTGCCCCATAGTTTCGTGATACATCTAAGCTACACTTGGAAAATCCCTATCTATCTCTCTCTCTCTCTCTCTCTCTATATATATATATATATATATATATATATATATATATCGTGGATTCTCCTGTCGTTGATCGACGCGGGCTGTTGACACGCTCTCACCAGAGACGGTTTTACGGCGTATGAGGTTCACGCCACTTCGTTTCCAGACAACCTACACATATGATTTTGTTATAGTTTTGAAGATTTGTGCTGAACCAACCAGACATTTTGAAGAGCCGAATAGAAAGACACAAGGTCTCCAAACGACACTCCGCGGGTTTTAAAATCAGAGTTGTTCTTCTACTAGACATATTACCATCAAAGGCAGATATTTCTAATAATTACCCATAACTGTTGAGTGGGGGGGGGAGAATAGGATTCATACATATTCCAAGAGTATTAGAATGTAACGAAATTCACCTGGAATTCGAACTCGGCTCTCCGATTCCTCAATCCAAGCCGCCATTCATTACTCAACCGTGTTTATCTATATTCTGTCTCTTCAAATGAGTACACTGATAAATAAACAATACATGTCTATATATGTATATATTGCGAGAACAGTAATCATTTTTTCCCGTCCATTTGTGATTCTTCTTCATGTTTACGGTCAATTTTATTCGTTTTTACAAATTAAATTGGTTTCTATGTTAGATTGAAAACTTTTACATTTTAATCGTTTTGTGTCAGTTTGTTCTCTCATCGTATTGATCCCTGACGAAAATTTGGCCGAAATTTCATTAGTTATTTTGCTTCTTAGCATTAAGTTGCTTTCATTGTAGTATCTACATTTTGTTCAAATACACACACACACACACAAATATATATATATATATATATATATATATATATATATATATATATATGTGTGTGTGTGTGTAGTGTGTGATGTGTAAATTGTTGTTTTATTATATTTTTAATTTTGCGCATGCGCCTTGTTTGTTTTTGACTTCGTCGACTGCACACTATAGCAGGTTCAGGTGGGCACTGTCTATGATGAAAAAGAGCACCATGACGGAATTCACCCCGTCAGAAATTTGGAGACGATATACTGTACTGCTTGGTATTCGGGCCGGAAGCTCCAATAAAACATTTCAGAGTTTTTTTTTGTTTTTTGTTTTTAGGTATGAGAGGATTCGGAAAGGGATGGATGAGTCTAATGGTGATTACAAAGATGTTTGGTGTGATCACTAGTGATGGCGACGTTATGCCTCCATTCATCTTCCTACAGGATATCAGACTCAGCATGAAGGTCTACATCAAGCGCCTTGAGGAGATAGTGCTGATCTGGGTCAAGAGGGCTGCTGCTGGAAGACCCTATGTCTGGCAAGAGGAATTTGCACTATGCCACACAAACAGGAGAACCCAGTCATGGCTGGCAGACAAATTCTACGTCCATATCACCCTTTACATCTGGTCACCTAACTCCCCAGACTTTGCAGAACATCTTTGAACATTCCATGTAAAACTTGAGATTAAATTCTTTCAGAATATGTCAGGCACGTTTTTATATCCTTAATAGTTTTCAAGATATTCAATATCAAAATGTTCCCAAGACATTTGGAACATCCTGTACTTCAACTGAGACATTGGGGATATTCATTAGATTGAACAGTATTTTTAGAGCGACTCACTCTAAAAGCTTGGTCGACTATCGGACATCGACTTGGGATTATTATAATAATGTTAATTATGGTTTATGAATATGTCCTGAAGATGGTCTATTAGACCGAAACGTCCGACGTTGACATTAAACATTAAAACAGCATAATCGCATATTAGGATTTTTTGTTTGTTTTTCAGTATATTTTCTTTCATATATATATATATATATATATATATATATATATATATATATATATATATATATATATATATATATATAAAAGCAAATAAATAGCCTAGGTGTTAGCTCAAAGTCTAAATTTTAGAAACTTCTCAGATTAGTATTGAAACCATTAGAAGCGTGTATAAATCTTCAAAAATAACGAATGTGCGTGTGTGTGCGCGCGCTTGCGTGTGCGTGTGCGTGCGTGGGTGTATATATAAACGGATATAAACACGCATAGCTAGCTAGCTAGCTAGCTAGATAGATAGGCATGATATTAATTGACTGAAATGAGTAAGAATAGACTGAGATAGATAGATAGATAGATAGATAGATAGATAGATAGATAGATAGATATCTGCAGCTAGCTAAATAGATAAGCAGTAACAGGCTGATATATATATATATATATATATATATATATATATATATATATATATATATATATATATATATATATAACATAAGGACATAGATAGATAGATAGATAGATAGATAGATAGATAGATAGATAGATAGGGAGTGAGAGGAGAGATGCAATTTCAATTTACCCACAGCACATCCTTATTATCTTAAGGGGCCTGGCTGTTTGTATGCAGGCAAATAAGAATTTCGAAATAGGAAGAGAAAAATGCTGTCTGGTTATTAATACGGATCGTAGTGGGGACCTAAGAATAACCCAGGATACTAAGTATATAACCACCAGAGTAAAAAAATTGTCTAACGAGGGAATTGTTAGGAAAAATTTGGCGGTAACTATCACGCGTCATATTGAATAGGATGAAGGAATCCAGGGAAAACAGAAAGGAATGATAAAGAATGACATTTTAAAGAAAGTACTAAAAGAAAGGAGCAACGAAGGAAAAAAAGGTATATCAATTTCGGAGATAATAACATAAAAATGGCTAATGTATTCAATACATACATACGAATGATACAAGAATAGAAATGTAAAGTAAGAAGTAATGCAAGAAAGAAGGAAGCATATAAAGCAAAGATAATTATAATGCAAAATAGGAAACGAAGAATAGATATTGTCAGGAAAGTTTGGCGAAAATAAACAGAAGATTAAAGAAATAAAATGAGAGTAGAAAAAAAGCAAGATAACTTTAATGCGAAGAAAGAGTGTGCGAACGAACGAAAGAAAGAAAACGTCCGAAGACAAATTTGTGTAATGACGAAATAAAATAAATAAGGAAATGCGTCAAAGGAAGGAAATGAATCAAAATAATTGTAATGGCGAGAAGAGGAAAGAAAATAGAGAGAAAACTAGCGAATAAAAATGAAAAATAAAAGAAAAAAAGAAGTTGAAGTTGAATGAACAAGAAAGATTATAATGATGAAAGAAAGAAAGAAAGAAAGAAAGAAAGAAAGAAAGAAAGAAAGAAAATGGGTGATTCTAAAAACGAAAGAAAGAAATGGGAATGAAGATAATGAGTTTAAAAGAGCCGGATGACGAAAAGAGGAAAGAAAAAAGAAAAGAAAAAGAAGGTTAAAGTGGAATGAACAAGAATGAGATTAAAGGTGGAACAAAGAAAATAATGAAAGAAGTCCATGAGTGAATTATAAAAAAGAAAGAAAGAAAATGAAAGAAAGAAAATGAATTAAGATAAAAGAGTATGAAGTCGAAAAGAGGAAAGAAAAAAAATAGAAACTAGTGGATAAGAATGAAAAAGAAAGTAAAAATGAATTAAAAAAATAGATTAATGATGAAAGAAATAACAAAAAAAAACAGGAAGAAAGACATAAAGAAAGTAAAAAAGATGAGAAAGAAAGTAAAAATGAATGAAGAAGAAATATTTTAATACTGAAAGAAACAAAAAAGAAAGTAAGAAAGATAAAAGAAAAAAATGAAACGAGAGAATACGAAGGAAAAGAAAAGAAAATTCAAATGAGTTTCGAAGAAAGACTGATGACAAAAGAAAATTAGTGAATAAGAATAAATGAAAAAAAAAAGATAAAAGAAAATGTCTGAATAAACAGAAAGTTTGATGAGCAATGAAAAAAATAACGGAATGTGGAAAAATGTTTTATGAGAAATAAAAATGTGTGGAATATGAGGAAGAAAAATGTACCATGTAAAAAAGGAATGAAATAGTTAATAAGATGAAAAAAAAACGAATGAAATTATGAATAAAGAAAGAAAGAATGAATAAAAAACACGGGTGTAAAATTGAAGAATCTAATGCAATAATAACAGAACTGAATCAGAGGGAATGAAAAGAAGGTCGAGCAATAAGGAATAAATGAAACAAGCATATGGGGAATAACAAAATTTTAAAGAAAAATAGTAATGTTAAACAAAACTTCGGAAAATCAACGGATAGAGAGCGTTAGCCGATGAAGAATAAATATGTTGAGAGCATATAAGATTAAAATATTTATCTTCTTAGAAGAACGTGAAGCAGAAAATATAATGGAAAAAAGAACGACGAAGTGCAAAGAATTACATTGTTATAGAGAAAGAAAAAGAAAAGAGGAACAAGGAAAACTGATAAAGAGACCTTTCTAAGAAGATAGTTAAAAAAAAAAAGAGATGACACTATAAGAAAATCATTGTGATATAACGACAGTTGTGAAATACAACATATGGAAAACATATTTCTGAACGAACAAACGCATATGAAAAACAATGTTAATAAAATAAAAAAAAATAGATAGGGAATCAAAGAGGGAATAAACCTGTAAAAAGAAAACAAAAAACAAAAAGAATGGCTGAAATACCATCTCTAGAAGATGAGGAAATGAGAAAAAAGAAAAAGAAAAAAGAAGAAAAATTAATAAAGAATGTTTTATGATATGAAAAAGAGAGAGAGAGAAGGGGGAGGGAGGGAGAATATTGAAAAGCATTGTGATATAACGCCAGTTGTGAAAGATAACTTACGCAAGGTATATTTCAGAATGAACAAAAGCATTTGAAAATAATGCTAATAGTATAAAAGAAAAGAGACGGAGAAACAAACATGGAATAAAGCCGTAAAAAGAAAACAAAGAGAAAAAGTGTTGACTGAAATACAATCTCAAAAAAGATGAAGAAATTTTAAAAAAACAAAATGAAAGTAGTTCTTCTTCCATTTTGTTTTTAACATTTCTTCATGAAAAAAAAAAAAGATTGAAGGTGCAAATAAGCACCAAAGAAAAAAAAATTATACAAATGGGCAAATGAAGAAATTTGATATGTTCTTATCGCCTTGAGGCTTGTTAACTCAATGCATATAATGTGGCGTGTGTGAATATTTGCGTGGAAGAACGGTGGTTACGCTAAATTATCAATAATGGCGATGATAATTCGTATAAATCACATTGTGCGCATGCGTAATGAAGTAATGTTGGGACACATGGTATTCCGGAGTCTCCGAGTTGGGTGCCATTGGTTGAGGAGGATAGCTATAATGTGAAGTGTCGGGGTAGGAAGAGGCCGGCGTTTGAAGTGTGTACGGTTTATGGGAAGATAACTCTTTAAAAACTATGGCCACAGTAAGAATACCACAAGCACATGCACACACACACACACACATACATACATACACGCACAAATAAGCACACATACCTGTACAAATACATAAAAACATACACGTAAACATTAATGCACATAGACTTATAACCATACATACATACTCACTCAAGCACACTTTCACACACATACACAAACATAAATGCATATATGCACACATATATATAAACACATGCTCAGAATTTCTCGAGAATTTATATATACGCGCATACAGATATACACGTACACGCGTATAGAAAAACGCAACCATATACATGTATTTGTATATACTTATACACATATACGCGTACAAACACATATATACACACAGACAAACAGAGATAGACTTACATATTCATACATAAACTTACATAACTACCCATATACGCACATGTCCACAAACACACACATGCTCACATATGTACACATATAGAGATATACATATATGCACATATACGCACACTTATGCCAACATAAACGCAAGCACATTGAAATGGAATCTCGGATTTAGTCCCTTTTCTCACCACCGTAATTCCCACTGCTTTTTCTATAAATACTGTCGTGGTTCAAGTCGAATCCATTACATTTAATTACGTGCTAATACCCTTGGGAATGTTATGAATCCTCTTCTTCTCCCCACAGTTATGGGTAAATAGCAGGACAGACTGTGTTCTTTAGCCTTGGATGGCAATTGGTTTATCGCAGAATGAAATGGCAACCTAATGCGGGGAAAAATCTGCCTTGTCATATATCGAAATATACAGGATCGCCTAAGCGTGTAACACGAATGGCACATAACTGTTCTGTTGAACTTTCCTCTTTGATAAATAAACTTTATGAATTTGTGCGCAGTACTTGATTGGCAACTATTTCTCATCATTTATAGAGTTGAAATATAATCATAAGATTTCTTTCTTCGCACTTCTTGTTTGTGTAACTCACTTCCGGCTTCTTGATTTCAAGTCAACTTTGATCTTCAAGAATTTAAATGCAATGTCAGTTGTAGCCGTCTGTCTTCGCAATTTATGTTCTTTTTATTTTTATCGCAACATAATAATGGTTTTATTATATTCTTTGGCACTGAGTGACCACCAGCGTATTAGTGGCTTTTTTCGCCTTGCTTGTAGTGAAATTATTTTAAATACACCCACAGACTCACAGACATCCACCCACACACAGACATACAAACACACAAATGCAAACAAACACACACACACACACACACACATATATATATATATATATATATATATATATATATATATATATATATATATAGATAGATAGATAGATAGATAGATATAGATACACCTAGTGAGCCAGACAAATTGGTTTAGGTTTCACCTAAACGGATCGTCAGGAAAGTAAGGCTTACTTTCCTGACGATCCGCTTAGGTGAAACCTGGGTAGATTTGTCTGGCTCACTGGGTGAATCTAAGTCTGCTCTACGGTTGTATTGAGCGCTTTTGTTAGTTAGTTGTTTACTCGTATCGGGGATTTTTTTTTGGGCTTCAGACCTGCATCTGTGCGATTTTTTTTTGTCGGCAGAAGTTCATGTTTGTAGCTCTTTTTTTTTTTTAAACCTTTTTTTCCGTCGAGATTGATTTGATTATAAGCAAATCAAAAATTCGAGGGTTTTTCGAAACGAGTCTAGTTATCTATAATTTTAAAGAAAATGAAGAGTGTGGAACGGAAGAGTGCAAAAATGAAAGGTGGAAGAATGAAGATTGTAAAAATGAAGGATGTAAAAATGAAGGTTGTATAAATGAAGGTTGTAAAAATGAAAGTTGTAAAAATGAAGGTTGTAAAAATGAATGTTGTAAACATGAAAGTTGTAAAAATGAAGGTTGTAAAAATGAAGGTTGTAAAAATGAAGGATGTAAAAATGAAGGTTGTAAAAATGAATGTGGTAAACATGAAAGTTGTAAAAATGAAGGTTGTAAAAATGAAGGTTGTAAAAATGAATGTGGTAAACATGAAAGTTGTAAAAATGAATGTTGTAAAAATGAATGTTGTAAAAATCAAGGTTGTAAAAATGAAGGTTGTAAACATGAAAGTTGTAAAAATGAAGGTTGTAAAAATGAATGTTGTAAAAATGAAGGTTGTAAAAATGAAGGTTGTAAAAATGAAGGTTGTAAAAATGAATGTGGTAAACATAAAAGTTGTAAAAATGAAGGTTGTAAAAATGAAGGTTGTAAAAATGAAGGTTGTAAAAATGAATGTGGTAAACATGAAAGTTGTAAAAATGAAGGTTGTAAAAATGAATGTTGTAAACATGAAGGTTGTAAAAATGAAGGTTGTAAAAATGAAGGTTGTAAAAATGAATGTTGTAAAAATGAAGGTTTTAAAAATGAAGGTTGTAAACATGAAAGTTGTAAAAATGAAGGTTGTAAAAATGAATGTTGTAAAAATGAAGGTTGTAAAAATGAAGGTTGTAAAAATGAATGTGGTAAACATGAAAGTTGTAAAAATGAAGGTTGTAAAAATGAAGGTTGTAAAAATGAAAGTTGTAAAAATGAAGGTTGTAAAAATGAGGGCTCAAAACAATTCAACACCGCCGACTGGACAGCGGGACATCTCAGGGGAGGGAGAACTCAGGACTGAGACAACCCACGACAGTGACAACTCAGCATCACTATAATGTAAAATATAAAAATCTAGAATTTCGACTTACGTTATTAAAAATAAGTTACATTACGATTTACTTCATAGGAAATAATTAAAAACAAAACACTGCTTCATTTTGTTTTGCATTTTACGATTTACTTTGTTAAAAATTATTTTAAAATAAATGTTTTACTGAATTATTTTTAAATGTCAATTCACTTTATTAAAAAATAAATGTATTTAAGATCTACTTTATAAAAATTAATCAAAAACAAAAAAAACTGGTTCATATTTTACATAATGCCTTTTCAAATGCCTTATTTTAAGAAAAATATTCACTAATTGAGGTTTTAATCCTTAATAAATTAGTTTTATTCGGTTATAAAAAAAAAAAGTTTTTTTTTTTTTTTTTTTTCTGGTGCTGAGTTGTCTCGGTCCTGAGTTGTCACGGCGCTCATTCGGCGGTGTTGAGTCGGCGGTGCTGAGTTGTCCTTTCCCGGAAAAATAATGGATGTAAAAATGAAGGGTTTAAAAGATTATGCAAAAATAAAATGTGTAAACATGCAGGGTGTAAAAATGAAGCGTGTAATATTAGCGGAGGTATAATAGAATCCGAATGAAATAAGAACAGATGAATAACAAAGACAAAAATAAAACTAAGATGTAGAAAAGAGAGCTGATAGCGAAAAGAATGACGACAATGATAAGAATAAATATAAGCAAAAACTGATACTGCTCTACAGATATTTAGCCTCGCAAATAAGCCCCAATCTATCCTTTTTTAGTTTTGGAGGCGGGGGTGTGCAAGTTAGACGTGTAATTCTCACCATCGAAAAATCAAAATTACGAACAAATTTTAAAGAAACTCAAACCGAATCATCAGTTTCCATTCATTTTCACGCGTGTAAAACAAACCCAAGTTTCGTAAATATCAACACACCTCACAGTAAGATGTACATGAATATAAAATAAAGCCTTAAAGCTAAAAAAAAATAACAAAAAACAACACTTCTTGGCAGAATAAAGAAAATAAAGAAACCCACAGAGATTTGGTCAACGAAATATTCTAAAGAATTTGCATAACATTTTTCGAGTAAAACGTTGAGGTGAAACGGGAAGCTTTTAAATTGCACAAGACACAAAATAATTGGAGATAGGAATATAATTGGTTGAATCGAAACGATGCTAAATTGGCAAAGAACGAATGGAAAAGTACACTATGAGTATCGAAATCGAATGTTTATTAAACTGATGCGAAAGAGGAATAGGGCGAGAGGCTAGGAGACTAAAGTATCAAAGCATGGAAAGACATCGTGGATAAGACTGAAAAACAAAATAAAAAAATAGAATCTAAAAAGAAAGGAAGCTAACGTGAAAAACAAAACGAACAATAAAGTTAAATTAAAAACTATATAAAAAAAAGCATGAACACAAATAAAGATATAAATAATGCTAGGAAGAAAATCAAGAATTTAAAACCAATCTCTGAAAGATCAAGTAACGTAAGAAATGAAACAAAAAATACTTAGTTGTTCGTCTTAAGAAAGAATTATTGAGAGATAATCAAAGATGGCGTCTGGTGTAGCGAAATGGTTAGCAAACATGTCTCGCAGACAAATTTGTTTGTATCGTGCTTATTCAGTGCTCATTTGGAAACCTTGTGCCAGAAAGTGGTCAGGTAGTCAAGCCCAGGTAAAACAGCAGAATATTAAATGTTGATTTTCAAGGATTCGGATAGCTCAATCGTGTA